CCTCAGCAAAAAGAGGAGGATTAGCACGAATGTTAGCTCAGGACTGATCTTCCTCACAAAAGAAAAAAAAAGATGATGATGTTAAATGATGATGGTGATAACTAGCATCCCTGTTGTATTCCTGTTTTGAGCTAAAATGGTTTTAGTTTTTCTATCTTTGGGAGAAAGCATGCTGTTCTTTTTTTTTTTTTTTTGGTAAATAATTTTTATTTTACTTAAGTGATTTTCTTCTATCTCTGGCTTTGAGTTTTTATTAGAAATGTCTACGGAATTTTATCAAGAGCTTTTTAAGCACTTAATGAATATGATTTTCTTTAATTTGTTGATAGAATAGATATATAATCTATCAACATGTGATAGACTTATTGATATTGAGCTACGCTTGGCTTCATGGAATGAATTTCTACAGACCAAATACTCCTAGATTCTTTGTTTTCTGTTCTTTCTGGTCTTTGACCATGGCTCCTCAATGCTGGTTTCTAGATAGAACTTGTCAGACAGACACGGAGAAGAAACCCTAATAAGTGATCCACGGGGTCTCCCATGGCCTTTCTTACTTCCAATTGTAAGACCTATACCTGTTTGGGTCTGGTGAATCAAATAAATTGGAGCTGAGGATAGAGGAAAAATTAGGCACTTTCTGGTCTCCAGCTTCCAGAATCATTCTCTGGCCTTTCTCTCTTTTGGTTCTTTTTCACCTTTTATGTCAATGACTCATTCTGTTCCTTTTATTTATTTTGCTTAGTAGCAAAAATTTACTCAAAACTGCTTCCTTAATGGATCCTTTTAATAATGAGAGAATAATGAAATAGCAACATATTCTGATGTTTCTCTTTCCTTCCATCCAGTCAGCCTTGTGTTTTCTGAAACCTATTTGCATTGTTTTCTCTAGTGATTTTAGTGATAAACTTCAGCAGTAAGAATCTTTTGCCGTGAATTTCAAGCTTTTATCCAAAACCTAGAAGTAGTAGCAAGCCCATATAACCAATATTTACATATCTAATTGTTTGTCCCAGGTAAGCTCTGGAGGCCCAGCCGCATTTTAGCCATCTGAAAAAATAATTTAAATATCTAATTATAATTTCATTATTACTCAGATTGTTTTGTTTTTAATTAAAAATCTCTCTCGGTAGATTTGGTAGTAGTCAAGGATTCAGTAATGTTTAATCATAAGAACCTGCCTGTGGATACCACACGAAAAGGAGGTCAGTTTAGCCAAAAGAGATCTGGCCATGGAGTTAGGAAGCCTGAGTACTAGTTTCAACTCTGTCACTAGCTTATGTGAACTCAAATGGAGTTCTGCACCTATGACCATTCATCTCCTCTTCTCTGAAATGAGGTTGCTGAAGTAAATGATTGATCTTCCTTTAAGCTTTAACATTCTGGAAAATTAGATAATGAGTTTGAGTCTTGCCCAAAATAACCCGTGATTCTACTGTTTCACGACTGAGTACTCTTGCTATCTGATTCTATAAGACAGTAGGCTGTGAGTCGACTTTTAGAACTATATTGTCTGCTCCCATGTAGCAGTTGCTGTAGTAGGTCTGCTACAGACTGAATGTTTGGGGCCCCCCAAAATTTGTGTGTTGAAATCCTAACCCCGCTATGTGATGGTATTTGAAGGTGGGGCCTCTGGGAGTTGATTAGGTCATGAGGGCAGAGCCCTTATAAATGGGATTAGTATCCTTATTAAAAAGACCCCAGAGAGGTCCTTTGCCCCTTCTGCCATGTGAGGACACAGCGACAGATGGCTGTGGGTCTTCGCCAGACACCAGATCTGCTAACATCTTGATCTTGGACTTCCCAGCCTCCAGAACTTTGAGAAATAAATTTCTGTTGTTTATAAGCCATTTAGTCTGGTATTTTTGTTATAGCAGCCCAAATGGACAAAGATCAGGTTCCTTCAAATTGTTATTTGTGAAAATAATTTTAAGTCCCCATATCCCATCTCTGTAAAGTCATGCCCCCTCTAGTGGGTTTCTGTAAGTCATATCTGTCCAGGGAGATCTAAAGGTTTCCTGAATTATAAGACTGGAAACGTGTTAGGTTTGATCATATTAAAATTGCTGATAACTTGACAATTTTTGATCTACAAATCGGCAGTTTCATATGTATCAACCCAATAATTAGAGGTGAATTAAACAATTATCATACTAGAGTTTGATATGAAAAATGTTTCCATCTAAAGGCAGAATTGCATGCTGTTTAATTAGGCATTTGTTATTTAGTCAACCAAAAATAGCTTTGAAATCCTACTTGGTGCCAGCCCTGTGCTAGGTCTTGTGGATATGCCCATAAATAAAATATACCTGTTAAGGCCCTTGTTTGCGGGAGACTACAGTCTAATGAGGGAAATAGGCAATTAATTAACCAATTACAGTAAAGTTACATGAGAATTATAGGAAATACATATTGCTGTGTTGTAAATGACAAGAAGGACTTCTCATTTAAGGGTTCAAAAGGTCTCTTGTTCAGAAATTCTCTAGGGAGGGGATTTTTGGGGTAGGATAGGGTGCTGCATGGTGTGTGTGGTGTTAAAAGTCAGAGAGGAAAACATGTGCCCAAAGGTGAGAACTAGCTTGGCAATTTCATAGTGTATGAAAGGAGATAAGGCCAGAGAAGGTAGCTGGAGCCCGATCTTAGAAAGCTTAAATAAGGCGTATTTAAGAGTTCAGGCAATAGAAAGTCATTGAGGTGTTTTAAGCAGGCAAATCACATATTCAGGTTTAGAAGGCAGTATGCAAAGTAGTTTAGAGTGTCCATCTAAAGGTAGATTGTCTTGGTTCAAATCCTAGTTCTACTGTATTCAGGCCATTGACATTGGGCAATTTAACATTAGATTTTGGTCTCCTTATCTATAAAATAGGATGATAGTAGTACGTTATTTGTAGAGTTGTTAAAAGTAGCTTAGATAATGCATGAAAACACTTAGTACAATCCATAGCCTGTAGTAAGTATAAATTAATGCTTACTTATTATTTGTATTATCACTGTTAGTTTTAAAAAGATGATTCTGGTTACTTGAGTTAGAATGGAATAAGATTAATTGCAGGGAAACCTGTTAGTAATTCAGGCAAGAGATAATTGTGACTTGGATTGGAGTAGTGGCAGAAGGCATAGAGAAAGAGATGCTATTTGAGAGAAATTTCAGAGGTAAAATCCTTGACACTTGGTGATTGAATGAATGGGGGAGGTGAGGGAGAGGGAGGAATAAAAGATGAGTCAAAGTACCTCACATTGGTTTTGGAATGACACTAATATGAATATACCCACATCAGCTGCAGTAAAATAATATGTTAATTAAATAAAGCAGCATTTAAAGCTCATTTTTACCAAATAATAAGTGATAGATAGTGCCCAGAAGTGAATCTTACGAATTTGAAGAACTGAGGTTGATCCTTGCTCATCTGTACTAGTTAAGCCGCTGAATAAGTTGGGAGAAGAATAAATATAATTTGAGCAGTCTTTTTCCCTTTTTGTTTCATGTTTCCTTTCTCTTTCTGCCTTGTTTCCTTTTTAGTTCTGTCATTTTGATATCTTAATTTTTTAGTATTAGGTTGGACCATATAGAAGTTGCCATTTTTGTAGATCAGAAAATATTTAACTGTAAATAAATTGGTTAAATATTGGCAATTTCGTGTGGTTTATCTAGTTATATTCTCATTCTGTAAGAATTTTTAACTGGGGCTCTGAGGGTCCATTTAGAGTTAAATTGAGTAACAATGACTATCTGAAGGAGTATTGTTGTGATGGCATAAGGAAAAGTGGAACTGAGCCCCATAAAGTAGGTGACTTAAACCTGGCATCATCCATTCAGTGTGGCTCTGGGAGAACCTCTTGCAGCCAGGTTTTTTTGTTAGCTTTACCAAAAGGGACAAGTCGTATAGTATTACTCTGGCTGTTTTTTAAAAAAATCTGATTATAGAAATAATACACAGAATTGGGAAATTGAGGAAATATGAAAGACCAAAAAGAAAAAATGAAAAAGCACTTGTAATCCTACCATCTAGTGAAAAATAGAGTTGATTTTTAATGTATTTCCTTCTAGTCATATATATACCAAAAGTTACTCTGTTCTTTCACAAAAAAACTAATCATGAGGTTGCATTATTTTAAAAAGGAAATGTATGTATAGATCAAACAAGATTGTGTATTCTGAGATACAAAGGCTAATTTGTACCATGAAACTTCCTGTAATTTTCAAGCCTGGGTGGAAATGGGTACGTTTACTTTTTCATCTTTTGTTTGTGTGTTTGTGTACTGCTCAGCAAGCTAGAGGCAAGAAATGGCATCTCAGAACTAGAGCATAGTGTCAAATACAGGAACAGTGTAATTCCTCTTCTATGTGTGTGCTGTTTCTGCAGTATTCAGATTGGGTGAGATTTTCTTTATTTTTCTCTTGAAAAACTGAATTTTAAGTTTCCTTGTTATTTTAGTCATCTTTCTTAATGTTGGCCAATATCTAGTGAATCATGAGAGAAAATTAATGCTGAATGTTTAGCCTTCTAGCTAGAACTTCTGCAGCTGATTCCTCAGTTGCCGTGCACCGTCAGTTGCCGTGCACCGTTAACACACTTGCATTCTTTAACATTGCTCTTTGTTCCTTGGGAAAATGCTACAAGAAAATAGGAATTTCCCCTCACCATTACCCTCTGGCAGTGTGTTTCAATCTAATTCCTGGCTGGCACTCTGTCCGGGTTACTACCACTTCTCCTTACTAGCTGTCTAAATTCTGTTCATCTACAAGAAGGGGGATTCCAGACAGACGAGGAAACAGCTTTCAAACACTGTACTGCAGGCATGTTAAGTTATTTCCCCACTGTGCAGTCTGGAAATCGGGGAGCCCCTCTATGGCGATGAATTCTAATGAGCTGCTAAAGATGCTGGAGTGTGTGCGCACACAGGCATTTTCTTTCCCCTCCCCCGCTTCCTCCTTTTCCCAAGCCCCCTCTTCTCCCTATTTCCCCTCCTACTCCTTTATCCCCTCCCTCTGTGTCTCAGTGCTGCGGTAAACGGGGCTGAGGCACATTCCTGCTTTGCAAGCCTTTCTGTTAAGGATGTTCTGTGGCTTTTGTTTGGATTGCAGCATGCAGAATTACAGGTAACACTCTGAATTAAGCTAGACAGATAAATTCTATTGAAATGTTTTCAGAGGCAAAATATTACATTGGAATCAATGAAGAAAATAAGTTATCTTAGCTAATTTTATTAGTGGTTGTTATAGTAAAATGTTTTCAGAAATGCTATAAGCAGATTCCTTTTTTCCCCCAAAAGGCTCAAATGAAAGGAAATAGGGGTAGATTGATCTGACTGCCATTGATTTTGTTTTATGTTGATCATGAAAGCTTGCTGTGGTGCGCCTCCTCTGTAGAGTAAGGATCAGTTATGTGGGGTGCTACTGAGAGTAGCCATGAATAGTTGTACTGGGTGGGGTGGGATGGAGTGGGAGGGGTGATACCAGCCTGAGCTAGCCAGGTTCTTTGATTAGGGCATTGGATGCAAATGTAAAATACTCTCTCCTTTTCTTCTATCAGCTGTTCAGAGGAGACTCATTACAACTCCTGCTGAAGCTCCTAGTCTTCTTCCCTTCTCTTCTGCCCCTACCCCCTACCCTCACTGGCCTGAAGACATTGTACCCAGAGTTTGCCTTACCTCCCCAGTGTGCTATGTGTATGGTAAACCTGGTACTATGGCCTCGTCTGGGACTGGCCAGATAACTGCTGCTGGCTCTCCCTATTCCAAGGATTTAAAGGGGAATTGCACTGCAGGCAATGCACCAGAGCAGCAGCATCGGGAGCTTGGGGACTAAGGCTCCTCTGACATTATTACAAACACACAGAGCTGACCGCAATGACAGCAGCTGCTCCTTTGAACTGTTGGCAGCAGTCAAGCGGCAGCATGAAGTGAGAGATCACTCCTGAGCTCAAGATGAACTCCACCTTGGATGGTAATCAGAGCAGCAGCCCTTTCTGCCTCTTGGCATTTGGCTATTTGGAAACTGTCGATTTTTGCATTTTGGAAGTGTCGATTATCGTCTTTCTAACTGTATTGATTATTTCTGGCAACATCATTGTGATTTTTGTATTTCACTGTGCACCTTTGTTGAACCACCACACTACAAGTTATTTTATTCAGACTATGGCATACGCTGACCTCTTGGTTGGGGTAAGCTGCCTGGTCCCTTCATTATCTCTCCTCCACTACCCCCTTCCGGTAAAGGAGTCCTTGACTTGCCAGGTATTTGGTTTTGTAGTATCGGTTCTGAAGAGTGTCTCCATGGCCTCTCTGGCCTGTATCAGCATCGATAGATATATTGCCATCACTAAACCTTTAACCTATAATACCCTGGTTACGCCCTGGAGACTACGCCTATGTATTTTCCTGATTTGGCTGTACTCCACCCTGGTCTTCCTGCCTTCCTTTTTCCACTGGGGCAAACCTGGATATCATGGAGATGTGTTTCAGTGGTGTGCGGAGTCCTGGCACACCGACCCCTACTTCACCCTGTTCATCGTGATGATGTTATATGCCCCAGCAGCCCTCATTGTGTGCTTCACCTATTTCAACATCTTCCGAATCTGCCAACAGCACACAAAGGAAATCAGCGAAAGGCAAGCCCGCTTCAGCAGCCAGAATGGGGAGACTGGGGAGGTGCAGGCCTGTCCCGATAAGCGCTATGCCATGGTCCTGTTCCGAATTACTAGTGTATTTTACATCCTCTGGTTGCCATACATCATCTACTTCTTGTTGGAGAGCTCCACTGGCCACAGCAACCGCTTCGCATCCTTCTTGACCACCTGGCTTGCTATTAGTAACAGTTTCTGCAACTGTGTCATTTATAGTCTCTCCAACAGCGTCTTCCAAAGGGGACTAAAGCGCCTCTCAGGGGCCATGTGTACTTCTTGTGCAAGTCAGACCATAGCTAAGGACCCTTACACGGATAGGAACAAAGGCCCCCTTAATGGATGCCATGTCTGAAGTGGTTCGGATATTGGGTCACTATGTGTGTGTGTGTGTGTGTGTGTTTCCTTTTTATCTCTTTGTATTTCGAGTTCAGTAGGAAATCGGGGACAAAATAATTTGACTCTAAGCAATAGCAAACAAATGGTCCATCCAAAATACCTTCTAAGTTTGCAGAAATGATTTTCTAAAAAAGTGCTTTTCAATCAGAAGAATCAGGACTGTGAAGATAAATTGCTCTTGGTATCAATTTTTGTAATGTGGGAAATGACTATAGTTCTCAGATTTAAAATGAATAAAGCCATATCTAACACCTCTTTCCAGCTGGCATGACTGAACCTGAATGTGGAAAGCGTCAGCATTTTTAGAAGTCATCGTTTTCTTGTTGCTTTTCTGGGTTCTTTCCGGCTGCTTGGGCTTCACATGCAATTGATTTCTTTTAATGGAATATTAAAATACAGTGATGAATTAACAGGGTTTTTTAATTTATGTATGCCAAAGTATAACTACACTGCAAATTTCAACACTGTCATTTAAAAAGCCACGTTTTGTCTTATTCTCTTGAGAAAATTCTCAATACAGTGAATAATGTGAACACTTAAACATTAATTTTAGAATCTTGCGATGAACTGTGCAGCAAAAGTGTAGTAAATCATACAGTTTATGAAAAACTGGGCTACTTTTTGTGCTATGCTTCATGAGGATCTAAAGAAATATGTGCATAGAAAGTGATTGTGTTGCAGTATTTTTGCTGTGCCTTTGTGTGTGTATATTGAGAATATTTGAATTTAGTTAGATTTCTCTTTGATAGCAAAATATGTTTTAATAAGCTGAAAGATAATTAAATGATAGGCTGATGGATGCCATTTTTATGGTGAAAATATATAAAAATATATCTTGAGTCTTCTCTATTCATTTTATCCAGAGACTTCTGAAATATGAGAATATCAGGGAGAAAGTTGTCCTAAGCAACTGAGTCATAAAATATACTGTACATTTAACTATCTTGTTTTTAAAATAGAAGGGGATTGAGATTAAATTTGTGGTTAAATGGAATCAACTAATACAGTAGCAACTAATTCTTTTGAAAGCATTCTTTTAGTTAAGTGTTAAGGAACCCACATTTGAACGAGAAAAGGAGAAATTCTGATTAATCTAAGTCTCTCTTATTGCTATTCTCTTTCTGGAAAAAAATCCTTTGAGATACGGTTCTTTCCTTAATAGTCTTTTTTTTTAAGCCAAAGTACTAGTAAAATCTGTAGGATTTTATTATTATTATTCTGTAGAATTATTAATTGAGAGTACTGTGTATTTGTATGCAGTAGTGATGTTTTGTTCTTAAAAGTGATTATCTAGAGATGTTTTGTTCTTAAAAGTGGTTATCTTTAGAGCAAGAGGTTTATTTTTCTAAAAAGAGAGAAGGATTTCCCAGCAGCTCCAGGCATGAGAGTATTTCCTCTACTTTTCTACTGATTTTAATGTTTTGGAAGTCTTTAGGGGACTTATGTGATCTCTGCCTTTGGCTAGATGTTGTTATCTGGGTGTGACAGTAGTGTTCAGTGACATGGAAGATGGAAGAAACCCAAGGGACATGGGTAAAAGTGGGTATTTGAATCCAAGAAAGGACATGGATATTTATAAAACAGGCAGATATGCTTTGGTTTTTTGTCATGATATTAGAAAACCTCCTACCACTTTATAAAATAAAGGGCAGCATTCTTATGATTTTAGGTTTTAGATATCGATTTGATTTTAACCTCAAAAGTATTCATTTAAACTTTTTCATTTTAAGTGAATAAGTATTACATAAACATTTAAACTTCAGATTCTGAATTTTTCCCAAAAGCTTGCTTGCTCTTTATATTTAATATTAGAAAATTTGATTCTAAGCTGTTTAAAAATTTCGAACTCATTGAAATTGCAAGTTGTTCGCAATGGCTTTGTTAAATTGCCATTTGAAGTGGAAGACCTTTTCTGTTGGATTACGAAATATAGTTTTGCACATTTCCCCTTTAAGTGGCACAGACCTAAAAAAATCAAGATTTCCTTTCTTTCATGTATGTTGGAGAATGTAACCTGTTCAAATTTGCACGGTTCGCTTGTGAATTTTCAGTTCAGCAAATATGGGAACATTTAAAGAGTTAATTTTTATAAAAAACTAATGTTAAATCAGTAGATTTTACTTTTGGGGGTGCTGAGCCCTTTAAATTTTTCCTCCAGTAGGGTTTCATCTTGTGAGAATGGAAAAGCAAAGATATCTGTTTAATTTTCTAAAAATTGCTCATCAAGCTGGTCTTTTAGTGACTGGAAAGACAACTCTTTTAATAAGCTTTTGTTCATAGATTTTTACGTTTTTGTCCTAATACCAAATTTAGATGTTATTAGAGGCATTTTTTTTCCCATTAGAATCTTTATCAGTCTCTCATCCTAAAACTGAAGTAGAAACTAAGTAGATGTAGTAATTTTAAAGAAAAATAAAGCCCCTTGCCCCCCACCACTGATACTTGCTTAGTATGAGATGTTTTTCCAGTTTATCTTATCTTCATTGAACTGTATAAACTTTAAGGTTTCTTTCAGATACCAGTTTTATTCTCACACTCATTGTCTATAGTGCTTTTTTGTTTTTATTTTCGTGTGTGTGTGTCTGTATATATGTGTGTTGGGGAGAGGGGACACTCTTGGATGCAATCATACAGTCTTCTGTGGCTGGGGGCAGTTTCTATGTGATACATTTAGAGTGTTTGTGTTTAACCTTTTTATTCTGGCATATTTAATGCACCATTTGATGACGTTTGGTTTAAATACCAATCTGACTAGTTCAGAATGAGAAAAAAGTATATTTTTAGACTCAGTTACCTTGGGCTTTGGCAAGACAGCACATTTAACTTTATATGGTATATGACTGATATCAGAGGAAGCATAAGCTTTTGGTGATTGTGTTGAAATTATTTCATAGTAAATTTTAAAATAAGACTATACTTATTGTTATATTTGTGAATTAGTTGTGTGTTTTTATAAAATGATTTCAGTGAAGTTGTGTTTTTTCCTCTTAGAGTGGAAAAGCAATTACAAAAGGACAATGCTCTGCTTTAATGAAAGAACAATCTTATACCAGAATGGATATTTGAATTTTTCATGGACCTATTGACTCACTCTAAATTCCATTTTGGAAAGGATTTTCTTTAAGCTTTACTTCTGGATAAATTCCTTGTTGAGCCTTTTATAGTGGCTTTTCCTTTTTACTTGAATAATGGTCTCAGTATTTTAAGGATTGGGAAAACTTGAATTTTTGTACTATAAATGTATTGTCCACCTCTTTGAACTTGAAAATGAAGCAACAGGGTCAGGGTTACAGGCTCCCAGATGGTAGAGTGGTTTCTGGGAGAGTTTCCTCAGCTTTTCAGGTTTGATTGAAAAATCTGCACAGTAGCTTTGTAGGAAATACTTTAATTTCACTGACTGTGTTTTGTATCATAAAAGATTTGTGAAATAAATTATTGGCAAACCAGAATTTATTGTTATATGATCAGATTTGGGGAGGTTTAAGGATGGGAGGATCATGGCACTATGAGATTTTTTTAAAGTCTTCATAAATCATTCTATCTGTTGATTTTTGCATAATTTTTCCATTTCAGGTTGAAGAAAAACTAAATATTTTATATTAAATGTACACATTATTAATATATTTTGGAGACCCTGGGATATTCTAGACATTTCTAATGACTGTAAATGAGTCGTTTGGTTTTTCTTCAAAATTTGGGTGACGAAAGGGCATCATGATATGATTAAAATGAACCTTGAACTGAGAATCAAATAATCTAGGTTACTGTTACTAATTAACTAGTTCGTAAGGGCAAGTTGCTTCTCTAAGCACTTAATTTCTTCCATAAAAGGAGATGATAATCTCTTAATCCCTCATAGGGTTACTTTGAGGATTGAATTAGATTGTGGATATAAAAGTACTTTGTAAAATGTAAAGTGCTTTGCAAATAAAAATGAGTACTGTTATTTGTTTCTGCCATAGATTTACATCTAAGGAAGTTGTGCAGAATGATGTAGTATTCCTCCACGTTAAGATCTTTGAAGCTCAATGCTATGTGACTATTCCATGCTACTTAGCAATCCCAAATTTGAGAAGAGAGGCTGATAAATCCTCACCTTTCTAAAATGACAGTAGCTTTAAATTCAATATAAAACTATTTTCATTTACTTCCTGTACTTATCTGCAAAGTTTCTGAAGGCAGGAACAGTGTCTCTTCATATCTTTATCCACCAAATCTAGTACTGGACCTGGCTCAGAGCAGAAGTTTTAGTAAATTTTATAGAATTAATGGATGACCCTTTTGTAATTATTACTTCTAGTCATTATAAAGCAGTGATGTTCAAAAGGTTGTCCAGAGCCCATAAGCAATTTTGCCTTTGGTCAGAGCCATTCTCGACTCTCAATAATATCTTTTTTTATTACTAACAAACTAGTGTGGGAATGTGCCTGCTCTGTAAGCTAGGTCACTTTAGTCCTGGAAACCCTGGAGCCTTGTCCCAGGGAACTTCAGGCACTGCTGTCAAACTGCCCATTTCTCACAGCATGGATAAGAAATATGTAGTTGGATCACACCTTCTTCTTGGCTCTGGATCCAGATAAGGTGGGCTGTAAAAATCAGTGACAAGAGGAGCTATAGAACAGGTTGATGAAAGAAACTGTTCTAACTCTGATTTTGCTTTGTCTCCCTTTCTGTCTTGACTAGTTTTCTAGTTCTGTCTTCCCTTTCTTTCCTTACTTTTCTTAACACGCTATTGGTCATGTATTTGGAGGGAGGTGCTTCAAATGGTACTGCTCTAGGGTGTGGAAAATTGTATTATGCAATAACATTGGCATTTAGGGAAAGTTTCAGAAGCAATCAAGAAGCTCTTATGCAGCAAGCTCTGCTATATGCCAGACAGGATTGCTAGCTGGCCTCAGGATACAAAGAAGGATCACATGATTCCTTTCTTGTAGAACTTTATAGTTTTTGGGTGTTTCATATGGAAAAATTCTGTGATTATCTGTGTTTCAAAAAGCCTCACAGAGTGACTTTATCTGGAGGAATTTACCAAGGCCTACTGGTGGGACAGGTGGTACACCATGGATCTATTTCTTGGGGTGAGTTCACATGATGCCAGTGTATAAAATCATAATGTCACTTTATTAGTTTAAAAAAAAAAAATGCTAGCAGTAGGGAGCAGTCTTTCCATATTGGTAGATCTTCATGGGAAGCCAAACCGTATTCAGAATGCTGCTTGGTGAGGATGGAATCTCAGAATATGATTCTATAATG